AATGTGGAAGCACCCTGAAATTCATGTTAAAAGATGAACAATAAGCAATCACCACGTGCCCACATAAAACAGACATTAATAATATATTCCTAGAGACACACATACATAGACAAAATTGTGTTATCATGGAGTAAGATCGTGATTAGCTACTGTTTTCACCAATCAAAGTCATTGGAGATGGAAGCACCTTGAAAAACATAAAAATTAAACAATAAACAAAATTATCTATATATGTGGGAATGTGAGCACACAAAAATATGTATCAAAACATATGTATAGATATATGAAGCATACGATATAATATGTACACTAACACTGTTTAGTGGACTCATAAAATAACATATTTATGAAAAACCTCTGTCTGTATGCCTGTGTGAGTGCACATGTGCTCATTACAAAAAGAAGAGTGGAACTTGATGGGAAAAAATCAAGGAGGGCATGATTTGTGCGCCACAGAATCAAATCATGAAATAAATAATATAGAAGGTTTTCTGTGTGCCATGTGTCGAGTTGAGTTGAGTGGAGTGGAGTTGTGTCTGTGTGTATAGAGAACGAATTTCTGCCACTAAAATTTGTCCAATGCATTACAGCGCTCCAACAGAAGAAAGGAGGAGTGGAAGATGTACATGCTACAATTTAATAAATTAATCAAAAAGAGCTACAGCATTTCAAATTAGCCAAAAAGTAAACATCAGCCCTTAAAGAAAATCGATTTACCCACTGATTATTCCATTATTGATAAACTGAGTTCTTTAAGCACAATAGGCAACATAGCCAACATATTTCCTGCACAATGATGTCAATGTCATTTGATACGCAACAAGATACATACAATATACTTTTATACAGTAAAAAATTATACATATTGCTGAGTTTTAACTGTTTTTACTGTACAATGAAAAAAAGATTAAAGTATGATCCTTTTTTTTCATTTTTCGCTCTAAATATTAGAATGGCAAGACTATTTTTTCAAGTTAAATACTAACTTTCATACTGATAATTTTTCCTTTTGGTTTGATCTCATACAGACTAAACCACAATTGTCTTATACACCTCCCGCAATCTTCTTCTTCAAACAGACGAAATCCTGTCTATATTTTGATCACTACCGCGAAGACGAAATGATATGCGAGTGAAAAAGTGAATATTATTTTGGACACTATTGATATCTTCGTACACATTTTTGCCAATGTATTTCCAAAGATTGACCATATAATTATGATATATAATACGTTTTGATACACGATACATAATTTTGCAAAAACAATGAGTTACAATACATGTTTTTACACACTTGGTCAAGCATACATGAAGAAGAAACATATGTAAAAGTCCTCCAACCACAATCCAAAGATATTTATGGGGACCAACAGTGCAATGCAACAACCCTCCCATGACAGATGTTAAAACAGCAAAAAGTAAACAATCCCACACACTGATCATCATTGCTTTCAACAAAACAGATCCTCAGAGTGTTGCACAATATCTCAACAGTGTCGAGTCTCATACTTGCCAGCCTTGTTAGTGAGAAAATTTTCAATTACCATGTTAGATTCATCCATTTACACCTCAAATTGCCAAGGGGCACAGCCTCCTAATTTAACGACCATCAACTGCAGACTCTAACAGAACCTTCCTAGCATAACTAAGCAAGCATTCCATTCAAACGATCCAAATTAAGCCTTTAAGCAACAAGAATGCTACGAATTATCACAACACAGCAGAACACACATGGGGATTTATGAAGTGCAAAAGCATTAACAGTGCTCCAAACAAAATCAAACAAAAATACACCACAGTATGCATAGCTTAGCCACACAGAAGCCTCAATGAAAAGAGCTCTGCTCATTTAGGCATCACTGCCTTTATGAGACCATCTTCCAGTCACTACTAAAATTTAAAGTTTTTTTTTTCCAGTAAGTGTAAAATCTAAAGGTTAACAAAGAAAGGTATATGCCTTGTTGGTTATGAAACTGCAAATGTCTTATCACAACAATTTAAAGACAGAAGAATAAGCATAAGGATGAAAAATCCATCTAAAATATGAGCTACAAACTGAGAACTGTTTCTCGAACAAAATGAAACAAACAATGGAATTCATCTCATCAAACAATCAAAAGCACATAGAAGTGACCCCTCATTGTCAATAAAGAAACCCCATGTAGAAAAATAATTACGGATCCAAGAATGCATATGGTCTTTGCCTCATAGAAAGTGGGCAAATCAAAATTCTCTCTTAGTAGGAGGTAATAACACCAAAATCCAAGAGATCAATACTTTGTCCAAACCAATCATCCCGTTAGAGTCTGCCTCAACCAAACAAAGATAAGAACCAGAGCAAAATTTTCCACCAACCTTTCCTACAAAGCTAGATTTTGGCATTAAAATCTAGGTCTTTATCCACCAGCTTCAAGGGTAAAAAATTTGCATTTCCCTCATATCAATCTGTATTTACCCCCTCTTGGGTTCATGAATGCACCCATCAAAGAAAATAATTACATAAAAGACACTCCCACTCACCAGAAACAGTGGACTGGCAGATGGGGCGGATGAAGTAACAGGCTTACAGCATAAATCCAGTGTTATCAATACCCAAAGAAATTCCTTTTAAGTTTTTGTTATAGGGGAACTTACAGAAGACAATCGAGTTAGTTCTCTCACAAATCTCCTTAACCATGGTCCTATCTCAAAAAGTAGAGAATTACATTCCACCCTAGAGTCTAGGCTACTTGCCCCTAGCCAAGATCTCCAAAAGAGGCTTCCAAAGCAATTGAATTTTTTCCGAGGGATGAACCACAAGGCTAAAGCAAAAACGTGGTAAATGAAGCAGCTGCTAGCATTGGGTCCAAAAAAAAGGCCAGGCTTGCAATCTCCAAGGAACTAAATTTCGTTTCGAGACGCCCGAAATGTTTTCATTTCCATGGAAACAGAAATGAATCATTAATTGAAGATGAAAATTCCAATGTTTTGAGATGTTTCGGTACATTTCAAAATGTTTTAATATGTTTTAACGTGTTTTTAGCAATATTTCGGAAACATTTTCAAATTTTTTGTTATTTATTTTCATCCAGTTTCCGAAATGTTTCCAAAGACCGAAACTATATACTCAGATGAAATTTTGATCCTTGACAATCTCATCTCGTGGTTTAATTCGCACATAACACAAATAAGCAAAATTATAGCTAAATATAAAAAAGGCGGGAGATCTTAGAAGACTACAAGACACCTTACCTAGGACTTGAGCATTTGGTGTGGCCATAAGTTGGCAAGCTTTTACAGACAAAACTACACTCATTTTCTCTGCCCGTCTATCCTTGAAGTCGAGTTTTGTTTTTGTGAATTTCACTCACATGTTATTTCATTATCTTTTAGTACACTATTAGGATTTATTATATCCATTCTTCAACAGCTCAAGGTTGTTCTTCATCAACTGCTTCCTGTGGTCAATAAGCTAAACAATCAGAATGGGTATAACAATATAGAAATCCACTGATAAAATAGCATTCCTCGGCCATTACCAATCATTTTTTTCTAAATAAGTTTTCTCACTTAAATAACAAATTCAATAACTTGAAGGCGCCTTGCTTTGCAAGGATCAGGATGTGCTTCATGCCTTTGAAAATGTGGATAACAGTCATCACTAGTAAAGTAGTAAGAGTGGCAAATTTTGGCTGCAACATGATTTGAATCTCGCGAATTGAACAATATGAGGGGTGTGCTCCATGCCTTTAAAAACATGAGGCAACACTCATAGCCAGTAAGAGGCAATTTTTTCCGTGACATTTTCTGAATCCAACACATCACAAATTCAAAAATAATCTAACTCTGAGCACGAACAATGAATTGGTCTAGTTTGTATCAAACACAAATAATTCGATTTTGACACGGCTAACATGTTTAATAAATATTGAAAGAATAAAACATCAAATTTTTAATTTTTTCAAATTCTCAATCGCAATTGTTATGGATTTTTGTAGAATTATATGGTTCTTTATTTTGTTTTTTAGGATATGGATCTAGTAATCATTTAACTTACGGGAAGTTATGTTTGGTAGACTTGGTTAAGAGAAAAGGTCACTAGGTCCTAGTTTAGAATTTCAGATTTATGGGTTAACCAGAACATGACTCAAACAAGACACAATACAAGATGACATGTCTCAAAAATAACACGAACCCAAAAGATACGACTCAAATAATGGAAACTAAATATGCCTTCCTTATGCTCACACAAAGCTCAGATTACTACTTGAACGACTTACTGGTAAACAAGAAACCAAAGGTAGCAAGACCATGAAAGTATCAAACAATGCCCCACAAATGAACCATATGAGTCTATTTCCTTTTAGTGTTCTTTTTAAACTCAAATGGAGTCGCCTGGAAGGGTGTCTTCAAAATTCCCAATAATTGTATAAAGCGCAGGAAGTACAGCAGATAAGAGCCAATACAAGATATGGTGAATTTCGGAATGAAAACTCTAAAAGACGTTGAAGGTGCTTCGATTAACAAAATGCATTAACCAAAAATAAAAACTCACCGGATAAACTGAAACCTCCATTTCTCGGTCAGAACCTTCCTGTGACACCTCATCGTACCACGAACTCGCCTGCGAATCCTTCTTCTGCAACTGCTGTTGCTGTTGGACTTTCTGTGGAGGCAAGTAAGGGTAAGGATTGTGAACTCTAGAATTCACAAAAGTGCTTCGATTATTCACAGTTGCTTTGGATTCCACAGGAACAGAGGGTATATTGACCGGCGACGCTGAAGACGTCGTGATGACCGATCGAAGTCGATGGTGGGGAGGAACGTAAACGCCGCCATACGACGACGGTGGTGGCCTGTCCTTCATTGTAATAGGTGGTTTTACTACCCTTTCCTGCAACTCCTGCACTGAGAATCTGTTGTGGGCTTTTAGGGGTTTTGGGTAGGGATTGTAGATGAAGAATTGGAGAGAGGTTGAGCTCATAAAAGGGTCGGAAATGGTGGTTTGATGATGAAGACTACGACGACGACTCTCATAGAGGGTGGTTTAACTTAAAGGTTGGGGTTTGGACTTTGGATGATCCCTACGGTTCGGGTGTGGTATTAGCTGTGAAACCGAGGGTGATGGTTGGTAAGTTGTGTGCACGTAGGGACTGGGGGCTAAATTCAGGGGTGAAAATCGAAAATAGTTAAAGTGCCAGCTTAGTGATGACTATGCCAACCTAAAACTAAAAGGTCAATATCATAATTAGTTGTTAAATTTTATTTTTCATTTTAAAATATTTTTTATTTTTTAATTTATTTTTGTTAATTATTAATTTTATCTCAATTAAATTATTCCGTCAATTTTAATAAATTACGGCACATGATCTGAATGACTACACGAGAAACATGTGCCTCAATTTGTTCTAAGAGTTATAATTGACGGAATGATTTAATTAATACAAATTTGATAATTTATAGACTAACACTTAAAATTTTAGAAACCATTTTAGATAGAAAAACAATTAAAACTTTAACTAATCTTGAGTCAAGCCCAGTCTCCTCTGCCCCAGATGATCCGTAACGCGACACGAATATGGTACGAAATTAAAAGTTTTGGTATTTTTTAAGCCACCCGACAAGACATTGGATAAATAAACGAATCAAAAATTGGTGAAACAAATTAAATACAAGACACAGTTCGTACGTATACTGATTTTACACAACTCATACATGATATAAATTTAATATTATACGATTCGTTAAACATAAATTAATAAACGTTAGTACGAGTAGAGTACTTTTTTATACAATCCTCTAAAATCCAAGACAAATCTAACTCACACAACAGGATTAACAGAGCAAAGTGCAAGTAAAAATAAGTCTTTATGGATAGTTCAGGATCGGCTCCATAAAAAGTTTGTTCAAATCCTTTCATATATCAAATGAACCAAACTCAGAACTCAAAATTGAGGCTCGAATGGTGAAAGAATTGAGGCCGAGCAATTCTTTTTTTTTGTTGGGTAATGACGGAGGTGTTTAGGCGGCTAAGCGGCGTGTCAAGTTGTAGTTATTATGAAATTCAAAGGACACTGAGAGGTGGCGCTAAAGAGTGATGGCTTGGAAGAGCCAAGTACACCAACTGACACCAATATTTAAGACGACTTGACATCTTATTAATAGAGACGTGAATGACTGTAACAGGACTATAAATAAGTCACTACATCCTCAAGACTCAAATTGACAGTCATGATTACAGAGCATTAATAGCTATGGTGTCGCGCATATTTTCTCGACGCACCTCGAGGTATTGTCCCTCCGAGCATTGAACGCTCGGGAGTCGGTGTCAAAATAGTTTATCATAAGACTTAAATGACCGGAGAGAGAATCAAAATTGCTCGGCATGTCCCGAGCAGTCATCCTATTGCCCGAGTAATCTAGGCACAAAGATCTGAGTCGAGAACACTCATCACACATGGATAAGAGTGTTAATCATTAAATATTGAGATGAGACATCAAGTCTTGACACTCATTACTAATTCAAGTATAAATACTCATCTGAAAAATGAACAAAGGTACACAAATTAAACTGAGAAAAGAGAAATATTATGCAAAGTCTCCAAATTTATACTAACTTAAACTTCAGAGGGGATAAATCGAATGTTCACTCGACCCTTTTTACAACCTTGGGATTGTTTCAGATTCATCGTCAGAGAATTATTAACCGTATTCATTGTAGGAAATCTCCCGTGTAGGTAAGTAAAGGCCGAGCAATTCTAAAGCTTGTGCAATAAGGGAGTCAACATTGAACACTGACTTCTTTGCTCACAAAAGTTTACAGTGAAATGCTTTGCTTTTCAAATTTGTAATTCAAATTTACATCTTAAATTAACGAAAATGATTGACTCATGTGTCCCAATAACTCTTTATGACGAAAATGATTGACTCATGTGTCCCAATAACTCTTTATGACAGAATTCACTGATCCAACTATCCTTGTTGATTTGAAATATAAATTTGAATGACAAATTTGGATTATGTAGTATTATTCAATTTTATATATACCACGTATATATATGTACCAGCAATAACTTGAGTCTGAAGTCACTATGTAATATTAAAAATTAAGTATTGTTAAAAATATATATATTTTAAATAATAAATTAGTTTTTTTATTTTCTTTAATAATATAATTTAAAATTAAATTAAATAGAGAAAAGTATGTATGAATTAGTATAGTTGTTTAGTATTGGAAACTGTGTTGGAGCATCTCCAACATTTACTCAAAATTAAATATGAGTCAAAATGACCAAAAAAATTTCTTCAACCTTTGACTCAAATCTTTATCAAATTAAATCAAAACTTATTCTGAATTCAAATTGAAGCAAACTCAAATTTTACCTCAAATTTATAACGGTAAATTTGTAACCTATTAAAAGCTAAAAAATTTATTTGACGACTTGTTTTCTATCTCTTTTTGTCTTTCTCTCTACTACGCTGCTTTTATCGCCGACCACCACCACCGAAATTTTTACAAATCATTTAAAGGCATGTAAATAAGTTTTATCATTTTCATCTTCCATCTTTTTGATTTCTTATATTTTTTAAAACTCTAATCTTACTTATTTTTCATACTATATAAATCATACGTTTACCCATAAAATTTTTCTTTGATTTTTTCGAGTTAAACATTATTGGTAATATATTTTCAAACCACCAATTCTTTCTAAAATTTTAATCTTTCGCTACCCACAAATTTTGAAAATTTATCATTTTATTTCTTTAATCTTTAATTTAAAAAAAAATATATATTTTTGTATTTTTTAGATCAGAGCCTTGTCAAAATAGTTATATATTTTTTTTCTTTTTTTTATATGAATTTATAAAAAATAATAAAATAATATAACAATCTTAAAATTCTAAGATGGTTTGATTTGAATGATACAAAAAAATGAGTTTTGTGAGAACAAGGGAATTTTGTAAAAGATTTAAGTAGATATTTGAGTTTGTCCATTAAAATACTTTAATCAAGTTTTTTACTCAAATTTAGACTTAAATTTGAGTCTAAATTTAAGTTATAGTTGGAGATATTGTTAATATGTCTCTTTATTCTCTTGTTATGCACCGAAAAAAATAAGTAAATTCAATGAACGATAGAGAATAGTATTGCCTTTTTAACAAGAAATTGTTTACCATATTAACCGTCTCATTTTAGTCTTAAAACTATTAGGATGTGAAGTATAGATCAATACAATTCATTAGTTGAAACCATAAACGGTTGAAAAATATTCATTGTAATTGTGATATCACATTAAAATTATTATGTAATATCACTGATTAATAATATGTAAACAAATAATAAAATAGACCACACATAAACTAATAATTATTGTTGGTGATACCATGTCAACAATGCTGGCGTAGTATTATCGTTGTGTCAAATATTTTCTCTAAAAAAGTGACTGGTAATGAGTAATGCTATATAATTTTTTTTAAAAAAACTTGATAATTATAATAATTGAATACGTAGTGCGTCATAATAAATGTTGAAACCCGTTGTCAAATTAATAGTTATATTTATGAAGTTTACTTTCTAAATTTATGTAGCATTTATCACAGGTAATACACCGAACAGAAAAAAAAAGGAGCAATGTTAATTGAAACAACAATGCTACTTTTATCGATTTGATTTGTTGATCTTATAATCACTAGAATTGATTTAGAAAAAATGCTAAATAGAATTAAAAAATTAATTTAAAATTTTGACTTGATGAATCATATCAATAAAAGTATTAGGAGTACTCTATACCAATATTGAGACTTACAGTTAAATAAATGACAATTATAACAATCACATCATCGAGTTAAGTTTTTAAGTCACATCTTTAATATAGCATTACTTTGAATATATTAAGTTAAGTTTATATAGCATTGCTCATTGATTTAACTTTGGGTTCAAACATTTATTTAAATCCACTACTAATTTAATTATTGTGATTAATTAAATCAAAAGTCAGGTCAACATTTTAAATGCAAATAATATTTTTATAATTGAAATATTATTAGGAGACCAAATGTCCAATTATTACATGGTGGAACCAAGCTGAGTTCCTACCAAGCCAAACACTTAGGGCTAGTTTGTTTCAAGGATTAGAGTGGTATAAGGAGGTACTATTAGAAAAATAGTATGTGAGACTCATCTTATAACTTGTTTGTTTAGTATTTTATAGTCAGTACTATTTTTCGGATCGTAATATCGACCCGCTATGAACAATAGTCATAATGCCTTGTAGATGGTCTTAATAAATACCACCTACCCGGTGGTATTATATGCCCGGGACAAATAAGATGGAGGTATAATAGAGTAAAAAGACTCAACTACCCTCATGTACAATTGTCTTTTTAAGGTTATAAGGTTACAATTGTCTTTTTACGGGTCATAACTGCAATTGTTAATTTTTTTAAATAGGTATTACCCAAATAATGTTATTGACAAACAAACAGGAAAAATGATGAAATTATAGTTTAAGATCGAGTATAATATACCATTGAATTGAAATGAAATGAATATAAAATTTTATACCACCTAAATCTTATACTCGAAACAAACAGGATTGCCAACACAGATGGATAGGAACGGCTAAGTGCATGAAACTCTCCCCATTGTAATATCCGAAAAAATGTACACAGTTACACTCCCATATGCAAAGGTTGTTTCCACGGCTCGAATCCTTGGACCCTTTATGCCCAGATTATAATAGACCAATCTCATCACTGTGCCAAACAACACCTTCAGAGTTCGCTAGTGGCAGAACAATATAGATGGATATATAAAGAAATAACATTACAATAGGTCCCAGCAGTTCTTCATTCATATTATTCAGATAACTCCCGGGACAATCTGAAGATCCAACTTGATTACCAAAAGAACATAATTTAGATAACTCCAGAAACAATCTCAAGATCCAAAGCTTTTAACAAAAGAACATACAGGTGGTACATGTATCCTCTCCAGGGTTACAGTTTTGAAAAATCCTTTCTCACAGCTTATTATTATCAACCACTCCAATATTAAGACAAAAAGAAGAGTAAATGGGCTCATCTAACGAGCCTCATCTGCAAAAACTGGAAGTACACTACTCATCCGGCCAAGAGTACTAGTTGTAGCAAACTCTGACTCAGTAAGTGTAGCCCTTAACAAACATTCCCTTCTTAGCTTCTTCGTTCTCACCCTCAGCGGAGTACCTTCCAAGTTGGGCCAGGGAGTTCGCCTTTGCACGCACCAAAAGCGCCTTTTGTGCAGCTTCTACATTCTCAGGAAGTCCTTGCCATGCCTTGAGCACAGAGTTCTGCAGGGCACGTGCATAAGAAAAGGATACGTGCCATGGGTTGGGGGTCTGGTTCATAGCATTCAGGTTCAGTGTTGCTTCCACTTCTGATTGTCCTCCTGACAAGAACTGCATAACATAAACACACATCTTCTTTAGCAATCATCAAAGGAAATCCAGTGTAGAAATAGCAGGCAATAGCATTTCAACAGCAATGAGTTGTGTATTGTCATATGATTTTGGTCTCAAATAATGAAGTGTGCTGATGGAATAATCTTTTGCCTCAGACATTAAGACTAAAAAGATTCAAATTTAGCCATTTACACCACATCAATCACAAATAAACATTATTTTAGTGTATGTGTGTCATAATGAATAACATCCCAGATACTCATCACCAAGGTTGCCAGGTGGTCAGAAGCAACAGATTCTATTCACAATTGGTTACTGTTCAAACTACACCCAGGTATTTTGTATTGAGAAGAGAAGACATTCACAGTAGGGGGTAAATATTCAGCCAAAAGAATTCAAGAAAGGTTAAGAATCTTAAGATCCAATCATATTAAAGACAAGTAAAAAGTAAGGAAGCAATGTAGATCAATCAGAAAAGTGTTCAGGTTATGGTACCATGATTCCAGGAACTGCAGGAGGTACTCTCCTCTGGAGCATGGTCAGAGTATATTTGGCAATGGTGTCGGGAGAAGCCTTCTCTTTGTGTTCAGCCCCAGGTGTCACCATGCTAGGCTTTAGCAAAATACCTTCAAATGTAACATTGTTTTCTGCCAAGTAGTAGAAGACCTCTGCCCAAACTTGCTCGGCGACTTCAAGTGTCCTCTCAATTGGGTGGTCCCCATCAAGAAGAATCTCAGGTTCCACTATCGGGACCAGACCATTGTCCTGCACAAGAAACCACGATAAATAAATGGTTACATTCGATAAAACAACAGCATTGATGGCCAAATAAAATAAATTGGAAAACCAATACCTCTCTCTGCATAATTTTTTCCACTTTAATATCTTGCTCACACTATGAAGCATGAAGAAAGTAAAACAACTTGCCCAAGTCTTTCAATTACACCTAAACCCTAACATTTATGAACATAGATAAACTTCCACAAGACATTGATGGAAAAAGTAACAATTCGCTTTTAATGGAAGGACTCAAGCATTTGAGCCTATTCAAGAAATCCATCCACTCCTTGAAAGTAACATTCTAGGTGCTAAAACTATATATTCATATTCTAAACTGGAAGCAACCGTCAAAATTGGTTTGCCTCAACTGGTCCAAACAGCAAGGAACGCCAAACAGTACCACAAAATATGTAGTACTTCATGACCGATGTTCAAAAAGTGTTTCATGTTGGCCCTCTCTGCATGTTCATTTCCTTTTAATATTACACATGCACCACTTCTCAACCGAGTGTGAACCTTGCACCTCCCTCTCAGTAAAGGAGGGGAGACATCCTTCAAGCCGACACCTGTGTTTCTTTGTGATTTTTGGTAAAGCTTGACATGGCACATAAGTAAGATGAATAAATGTTGGAACATGCCAGACAACTGATATATCCTTCGTTCATTTTATCTATCTGCAGTTTAGATCTGAATTCTGAACTACCAGATATTTCCTGTTGCGACAGAGCAATAGATGTGCGTCAAATTTTCCCTCCATTTCCTATTCCATAGAAAACATCTTAAGCTAATTTCAGCAAAAGTAGAAGGTCTCAGCATTTGAATGGATACCTGAGAAATAGCAGCATAACGTGCAAGACCCCATGCAGCTTCTTTAACAGCCAAAGCAGAAGGACCACAAGGGATGCTGACAACTGTGCGCCTAAAATTATAGAAAAGAAGCAAACCAGTAAACCCTATGCCATGATTTATTGTTTTTCCCACACCAAATGAAAACTACAGATTTATCTGGAGAGTTTCCCATAACCAATCCATGAAAGGCACCGATTTGCAAAAGACCAGAAATAGCTTACCACTTTGCAAAACGAGCCCCTTGCTTATAGTATTCAGTGGATCTAGAAGCCAATCCGTCTAATCCTTGGCACCAAGATTCATTGTTGGATCCTGGTAGTGGAACTAAACCCTGTAAACAAATGTGGAAAATGGACAAATGGGTGAGTGCATCAAAAATCTCATACGAAAATGTTGATTAAAACTATTTTTCAACAAGGCGGAATAGAATAAAAGCATACCTTATCAACTTTGATGCCAGGCACAATGTTCTCATCACGCAGGCAGTCAACAAACTTCTTCCCATCTGTCGTTGACTGGTAGAGTGTTTCCTCAAAAAGAATGGCACCAGAAATATATTCACCCAGACCAGGAGTGGTCAGTAAAAGTTGCCTATACGCCTGTCTGTTGGGTTCTGTATTGTCCAACCCAATAGATGCCAACCTCTTTCCACAGGTTGCATTTGATTCGTCAATGGCAAGGATACCACGGCCAGGAGATGCAATTGATTTCTGTCCAACAAAGAGTAAACAAGAGAAGTCAATCAAGGATGCTAAACCAAATCCTCCAAGCCCATAAATGATTATCATCCTAAAATGTTTTGTATTCCTCAATTTAAACACTCTCTTAATATTGTATTAGGTACTAAGACCAGAAAGAAAGTATATAAAGCCACAAAGAAAAAAGCAATTAAAACGAAGGAATTCTTTGAGGCAATTTAAGTCAAACATCTTAAATCAGGAACAAGTGACTTATTTCTCAAAAAAATAGCAATGGTGAATGATGAGTACAAAAGTATAACAACGCAAACACTAATTTTCGTTTGATAATAACATTAAGCACAAGGTCGGAACAGATCCAAATTCGATGTAAAGAAGATCAGAGCAATGGCTAGTAATAATTATCTTGTGGTCATACAAAGCTTCTCTCCCTTTCATACGAATTGAAGAACAGAACTGCTATCAAATTCTTAAGAAAAAACTTCCCAAGAGGTCAAAACTAATTGTAGAAAAATTATTAGTTCACATAGAATGGCTGCAATCATGTATACATTAAATTGCAAAGTTATAGCCGGCAAAAACATGAATTTGTTGTCAAAAAAAGAATTCCCATTGAAGCAAACCAAAGTAAAAGAAGGAAAGAGAGAATCATAATATGATACTAATGCAAGACACAGTACTAATACCATATCAATTATTGATGACCAAAAAAAAAAATGCTGCATCAATTATTTGTTAAGTCTCCTTGGATGGCAAAAGTCAAATGATAGACACTGCGGATTAATTAAGTGACAAATACACACACCCCCACATGGCTGCACGCGGATATAAAAAATGTGTTTTTGAATGATGATGGTGAAAGATAACCACCCCCACCAACCATTAGGATGCTAAAGAAACTTAATTAACTTAACTAATAATTAAAACACTCACAAAATGAATCTATAATATAAAACAGGATATGTTTCTTTAAGTTAGATATCTATCTAACGGTCTCGAACAAACTTTTCCAACAGCAAATAACATCCGTCACAAAACCACTTGCACCCTGCCTAAAGGCACGGGTTTCACCTAATAATCAATAATCTGTCACTAAGTAGCTGTGGAACCCAACAAATATTGAGGTCTCCTGTCATTTCAATAGTTTTATATATATATATATATATATATATATATATATATATATATATATATATATATATATATATATATTACGAATCTGTCGATATATTTATATAAACAACATGAACAATGGCAATAAAATAGTTATACCCTATACGTAGATTAATGGAAAATAAACACTTCAAACACAAATATCAGCGCTAATTTTCTTTTCTGATGGGCTTAAAAGTACAGATAATGTAAGCATAAATGCAGTGGGAAAAAAAGCTCAAAATTTTCCCAATTTTCAACAATTAGCCAAAAAAATCCAACAAATCAATTTAAAATAAAAAAATACAGCTCCAAATACAAGCTAAATCATTCAAATATAACTGATAAACGAATCAAAAAATTAAAAACCAATACTTAGAAGTATAAGAAAAAATATACATATAGGCTTTGTATATGCATCAAAATTTAAAGAAAATGGGAACTCACGGCAGTTTTAACGAGTTCATCGGTGTAAGATCCGGCTCGGATGACAGAAACACGGCGAGTCGGCAAACGACAGGATGATCCCGGCCGTTGATTGAAGGACTTTTGACCGATCCATGATGAAGACGATGCCTGCAACTTTACCAAACTCGTACACGCCATGGCTCCTTTCACCAACAAAAAAATCGATCACAGTCTCTCTTTCTCTCTCTATCTGAGACTTTTTAGTCGGTTTGATGGGCAGCTGCTTATAAGAGAGAGAGAGCAAAACAGCAACGTTGTTTTGTTTTCTCGTAGAGTCCGTCCGCACGTGCCAATGAGGAGGGGATGAATAAGGACAGCAGAGATGCGACACTACCGAATAGTGCTTATTACATAGTTACATTACATCGGATCGGACTTTTCTATGCTTACTAGAATGCCCTCAGTCTAATGACCAAATTGTCCATTGACCAGAGTTAATGGATCTAATTCATCCCTTCAATTTTTGTACTCTTTAAAATCTCCGTTAGGGTTTGGATGAATTTTGGAGAGAGATTTAAATTGACTTATCTATATTTGTTTAAATTCAAATCCTTCTTTATAAATATAAGATTTAACATTAATTCAGTTCATACCTATATTTAGTATGCAACGCATACACATGTAGAACTTACGAATATATCATAATTATTAACAACTATTTGTCATATAAATAATTATTTTACTCTTAATTAATCTAATTTATACTCGTGTTAAGGGGTTCAATTATCTTTCAGATCATTAACCCCTTACACATCTTCCCAAATCCACTCTCCCCTAGATTTGACGAAACTCATGATTATAAGTTTAATTTTCAGGTCAGTTACGGGTCAAATTTGAAAACTCGGAACTGAATTTTTTATACAAACATAGGATTTAGGGTTTGGACTATTTTTTTCTCAAACTCAATCTTACCAAGTCCCCCCCATGTAACCCCTTTACCAAACGGCCCCTTATAATAATGGCAATAAAAATAAAAAATGATAGACCCAAAACAATAAAAAAAATGACTTATAACTGTGAAGTTATAAGATATCATACTCGGTATTACAAAATAACAAAAAATAAAAGTGATTTGTTTAACATTTTTAAAAATACCATATAGTGAGAGAGTATTAACTTGTTATTGTTGTGATACAAATAAAAAACGTCATTAGATGTCTTTTTTCTTGTGACAAAAGTAGATGTTTAAGCTTGTTCATAGAGTTGAACTAGTTTATAATCATCGTATAATCCTTAAGGAGGGCAATTGAACTAGTTTTCATTTTCAATCATGTATTTAGCTTCGATAGTAATTTTCATGCACACTAAGAATAAATGAAAAAAAAAAAAGGAAAAATATCTCTTTAAAATGAAATTCAACCATGAACACAAAAAAAAATAAAAAATACATGGTGGACTAAATCTTCCCAACAAAATTCAATACATAATGATTGTGTGTGTGTGTGTATATATATATATATATATATATGAGGCAATGAGAAAACTTGTCAACTTATAAATAAAGTTGGTTTAAATATTGATGGGTTAAACCCAAATAGTCCAATTTATGTATTAAAGCCCAGCCAGTTGAGGAGCCCAACCTCATTGTGAATCCACCAAGTCCAAGACAGACCAAGGCCGGTTAGACTTCTTGCTTAGCACGTCACCAAGAGGAAGCACAGGAAGCTTGAGGCCGGTTAGACTTCTTGCTTAGCACGTCATCAAGAGGAAGCACGGGAAGCTTAAGGCCGGTTAGACTTCTTGCTTAGCACGTCACCAAGAGGAAGCACGGGAAGCTTGAGGCCGGTAAGACTTCTTGCTTAGCACGTCACCAAGAGGAGAGCACGAGAAGCTTATCTGCACCGCCTTAAGGAAGGAAACGGTCCAATCTTTGACCACGTTTCATGAAGAGCTCCCCAACCTCTTCCTTCCGTTGAGGATAAGTCGTGATCTCCACCAAAGATAATCTCTAAGCTGCGATAAAGAAGCCTTGAGGATATGTCATGATCTCCACAAGAATGATCTCTTAGCTACTATAAAATGGCTCTAATCTGGGAGAGGAAGGAGACATGTTCCATCAGAGACTTACAGAAGACGAACCGACTACCGGAGATTATTATTTTCTCTGATTCTCTACTCCCCCTCTCAAAGCTTGTATCTCCATTCTCCATACCTTTGAATCAATAAAATACCCGGTGACTGAAGCCATTGAAGAGTGGACGTAGGTCAAATTGACCGAACCACTATAAATTGTGTCTTCTTTAATTCTTTCGTTGATTTTATTGCATTTATTATCTATACTTGACAGGTGGTGTGCAAAACCATTTTTGTGCATCATCAAATATAATTGGTGTGTTTATAGTTTTTATGGACCATTGTTTATATGACAAGGTGATAAGTGACAATCATTCATTGAACATGTATAATTCGTTATTACACTGTCACGTGGTGTGTTAGCACGACACAAAATTTTATCAATAAAAAAACATTTACAAAAAGTTTAAGGGTTGATAGTATTTTTTGTCACTAAAATATATAATATTTTGTCAATTTAGTCTTTCTTATATACATTTTGACAATTTAGTTTCTAAAATTTTAATTCTTGTTATTTTGGTTCATACATAGACGAATCGTTAAGTTTTTGACAGAATGATCATGTATTAAGCATGTGATACAATTTAAAGTAACACAGATTAAATACTTTATAAATAAAATTGATAAAATTAATACAATTAGAACTAAATTGATAAAAGATTTAAATTTTAAGAAGAGCAATTCTATTGAAATCTAATTTACTGATATAATTTATTGTGTTATTAACACAAAGTTTAATGATCAATCCAAAGAGGGCGTTTTAGTCTATTAGCAATATATACCTGGTACCCTTGTGTAGTTGAATTTGAGAGTATGAAGACTCCAACGAATAAAGGGCATTACGGGCGGTAGGTCATGGCCCCATCTCTCTCACCTAACAAATGACAACTGCCATCGTGATTCACTCCCCCCTCCACGAAACTGTTTTTGTACTTTACCACAACTTATATGAATTATTGTATTGGTAGCTGTGAGTATCTGATGGGCCCTCACTAGGAATATATCAAGTTAATAATGATAGTACATGAACACATGCTTGATGTTGTCATATGAGTTCGGACCGGCCGGTTCAACGGTTTCAAATTCGATCCAAATTCGAATTTGGTTAGTTGGATATTGACTGAATTTTTTTTATCGATTTTCTAAATCCAAATTCAATTTATTATATTCGACTAATTCGAATTCGAATTCGAATTTTGATATAACTAAATCAAATCGGATTATGATCCGATTTGGTTCAATATATATATACTAGTAATTATTCGTGCCTGAAGATACGGTGTTACTCGTAAATTAGTTACAAATATTTGTCTATACATAAATGTAATATAAAATACAACATTGTAGTAAACGATGAACAAAATGAGTCCGCTAATATTTTTTATAACATCAACCTACATGCATAGTATATATTTTCACATTAAATTGTTATGCCACGAAAATTATGTTATAACTACCGAAACATAATAATTCAAACATCTAAAAAAAGTATATTAGTTGACAATATTTAATGTTCTATTTTTGATTCAAAATCCATGATTTTAACATTTATAATTAATTTTATCTAAATAATAATAGAATTTATAACTAATAAAATGAAAATTATAATAATACTTTCACAAATAAACTGAGTCTGCAGATGTTGTCAAATGACTAAATATAACTATCATAAATTCAATTGATTTCCAAAAGATACGACCTGACTATTGAATTTGTATGATTCGAATTTATAATAGTACTTTTAATTTTATATCATTCTTCTCGATTATTTATATTTTTAGTATATTTTTTTAAACTAAACGTTATTTAGTATTTGATTATTTAGTAAATATTGTTACTTCGTGTTGTTCACTAAATATTAAATTTGTATGATTCGTGTTCATATTATAACTTATAATTTTGTATCTTTTCTCTTGTTTGTAATTTTGTATCATTTGTCTAGGGTATTTAAATTTTGATTATTTAGTAAATATTGTTACTTTGTGTTATTCACTAAATATTGAATTTGTATGATTCGTGTTTGTATATGAATTTAATCTTGTATATTTTAAATGTTAAGCATATGTTCTTTAATATATCTCTTGATATCTGAGTTGCCCAATAACTTGAATTTAATCTTATATATTTTACATGTTAAGCGTATTTTATTTGTTAAATTATATTTTTTGTAAGTTATGTTTTTTTTTTATTGATTATGGAAAAAATAAAATTGATTATTGCTATTGAATTTGTATGATTCAAGTTTATAGTAATGCTTTTAATTTATATCATTTTTTTGAATTATTTATATTCTTAGTATATTTTCTTAAACTAAACGTTATTTAACATTGTATTATTTAGTAAAGAATGTTGTTTCACGTTGTTCACTAAATATTGAATTTGTATAATTCGTGTTCATAGTATTACTCATAATTTTGTATCATTCTTCTCGTTGGTAATTTTGTATCATTTTTCTTAGGTATTTAAATTTGAATTATTTAGTAAATATTATTGTTTTGTGTTGTTCACTAAATATTGAATTTGTATGATTCGTGTTTATATATGAATTTAATCTCGTATATTTTAAATGTTAAGCATATTTTTTTTAATATATCTCTTGATATCTGAGTTACCCAATATACTGAATTTAATCTTATATATTTTACATGTTAAGCATATTTTATTTGTTAAATTAGATTTTTTGCAAGTTATATTTTTTTTAATTGATTATGAAAAAAATAAAATTGACTATTGAATTTGTATAATTCATATTTGTAGTATTGCTTGAATAAAAGAGAGAGATACAGAAGAATATTTTTGTGATATATACTATCTATCTAATATTTATTATATAATTTCCTTCAGAGAGAGATACAGAAGAATATTATTGTAATATATTATTTCTTTGTAATATATAATATCTATTTATAGAGAGATGCAGTATTTGCTTGAATCAGACACTATCTAATATTTTTGTGAGATACAGAAGAAAATATTGTAAAAAATTGATATTTTTTTGCGTGAATTGAGTGTGAGAAATAGAGATATAGATAAATGAAAGAGAGAGATTTACTTGATTTAAAGAAAAGATTTAGGAAAATTAATTTTTGGAATATAAATTTTGGAAACTATAAATTTTGAGCAATAAAAATATTTCAAAAGAGTTAATGTGAAACGTCGGATTAAAACGATATGAGACGTTAATAATTCGAGACAGTTTGAAATAACGTCGTCCATTAGATGTTTTTTTTTTGTCACGAAACGATCTAAACCATTATTTGTCTCCAAAATTTAAATTTATTTTATTTTATTTTATATATATATATATATATAGTTAAAATTTAGTTAAATTAATTTATTCAGATTGAATTGAATTTCTGATTATTAACCAAAGTGTATATGGATCACGAAAATTTAAAAACAAAAGGCTAGACTATCGAATTGAATTCTGACCAATTTGTTAAGTTCGGATCCGAACCGGTCAAAATCCGATCCAAAACCCAATTCGTTGAGTTGATTCTTATGTGTCCATATTTTTTGATGTATTGAGGTAAATGTATTTTCCTTTTTTATAGTTTTGATGGGCTGACATCCGTAAATCACCTAAAATGGATTCTCTTTTAATTTATATATTATGGTTTTTCATAAATATTGTCATTTTTTACTTATTTTTTGTTCATATCACGTATCCATCTTAAAATAAGCATTTTAACTACTCTTAAGTGTCGTTTGGATGGCAGTAATATTCGATGAAAATGAGAATTACATTCTTAAAATTTTAAATTATCATGTTTAAATAGTCAATTAATTGGTAATTTAAACCGAGAATAAAATTACTACTATACTCAAATTCCCCAAAATGGTGAATATCCTAGACTCTTGATCAGTGACAGTAATCTCATCTCCACCTTGATTGATTATTCTAAAAGAAAAATGAAATTCCAAAATCAAACTCATTCTCAAAATTCAATTTAACTTACAACTAGCTTCCCTTCATAAAATCAAGTTCTTACCCCTTCATAAAATCAAGTTCTTACCAAAATTAAATTCATTATTAAAAACAATTATAAATTATACCGTAATTCATGTATTAGATTATTGGTTATAACCAAATTCTAATGTTTCGTTTGGTAGTAAGGATGGAAAGCATGAATGATAAAAAGTACGAGAGATACACTTTTTATCATTCAAGGATGAAAAGTAAGAAGGATACGTTTTTCTTCCTTTGTGTTTGGTTGGATGAATGGAAAAAAAAATGACTATTTTTTTTTTTTGTACTGGCTAAGATTAGGAGTGATAATCGAATTGTGTCGTGTTAGATTCGTGTTGAGTCATTACGGGTTTGTGTCGAATATTAGTCAACCCCAACTTAACTCATTTAACTAATTATGTCATGTCGAGTTACGAGTTGACCTGTTTATTTTCGTATTAAGTTTGAGTTGTGTTATTGTGTTAAGTCGAAAATTTTCACCCTTAGTTAAGATAAAAAAAATATTTTTTTTAATTTAAAATTTGTATTTGTATTTGTATTTTTTTTAAAAAAAATTTAAAATATATATATACATATTTTACCATTATATTTTTATATGAAATTAATGTATACATAATATATGTATATATAAAAAAATATATAGACAAATAAAATACATTTCAATACAAATAATTAATTTTTCATCCACTTTCCTTCTAATTTTGGAGGAATTGATTTTGGTGAGTTAGAAGAAAAATTAATCCATCCACTTTTTTAACCTTTCTACTTTCCTTTCTTATCAAACATGATATTTTATTTATCCCTTCAACTTTTTATCCTCCTATTTTTTTACTGTACCAAACGAAGCATAAATAAAAAATTACCATCGTAACTAAAATTTGGATATCTCCTTACTATAAATGAAATACCTACTCCAATTTAGGATCACTGTAATCCAAACGGGGTGTTAGCTTCTAAATATGTTGCTTTAGGTCCTGGGGTTTGCATTCGGTTCTAGGTCTTGAGGCTTGGGGTTGGGTCCGAAGAATAACTATGAGATTTTAGACTTGGGGCATTAAAAAGTAAAAATAGTTGTATTATTTTAATGCCATTAGAAGTATCCAGTTTAAATTTACTTAGATATGAGTAAAAAAAAATGATTTATTCAAATATAAGAACAAATATCATTAATATATTTTTCATTCTAATTCCACATTTTATTCCCACCTTTATTTAAAAAATATAACCACATATCAAGCGTAACGTTATAAATTATTCATATTAATTATAACTCAAAATTTTATGCTATTAAAAAGACTTGAATTCGTGATACATAAATTTATACCCTTTCTATCAAAAAAAAAAAAAGACTTGAATTTGTGATAGATTAATTTTTGTCTTATTTTTTATTCGACCACAAAAATAAGGTCAAATACAAAACCGAATATGTACAAATAAATATAAAACTATTAGCAATAACTTGTGTTTTAAGAGCAATTCCAAAGGAGAGTGGCATCCGGGGGGTGGCAACCTTTGATGCCACTCCAAATTCAAAATTCTCCATTCCAAGGAGATGATATCAAGGGTTGAAAAATGACATGAAGACTCTTGGGTGACAATTTTGACAACTTTGGAGACAGAAGAAAAAAAGAGGTTGCAAATGAGTTGATCAATATAGATCCGTTAAATTGCTGAATGATTCAATGATAAATATAAATTCAACGATTCATATAAATTGATGAATGAAAATATAAAAATGACACCTGTCATTGAAACAGATTTATAATTCAGAGATGTCAGAATACTGTTCAATATTACAAATGGGTGATTTGGTACCCCAAAATGACAATTCTCTTTGGATCATATATATTCGAGCATCTAAAAAATTGATCATATTATATTAAATATTAATTTATTTATTTTCTTTCTTTAATTACATAATTTAAAATTAATTTTTACCTATTACTTTTTAATTGCGCCAACATTTATAGTTTACTTGTTTAACAAACATTTGATTCTATAACCACAAAAATATTAATAACCCAAATATGTAATAATCAAAATAGACACATAGACGACCTAAAATATAACTTTATTCCTCAAAGTGTCCAAATTCATAACCAAAATCCAATTTTCGGCCACATCATCAACATCGCACATTGACACTTCATATCACTAGCTACACAAAAAGAAATTAAACAACTCTGATAAACATATCATATGTGTAGTAGTGTCCACATAATGTAACAACATGTGTCATATGGGTAATAGTGTGCACATAATGTCAGTGTACACATTATCAATTGTATTTGTCCGATGGCTGTTTGTTTATGGCTCTTTTTAAAAAAACACATGACCTTAAAAGATAGTAATATGTGTTTTTCATGTTGAATCAAAAAGTTTATCGTTGCATCAATACTCATAGATGATAATGAAAACGATTTTTTTTAAAAATTATCTTTTAGCAAAAAGGGTTCATGAGTCGAATTAGTTAAACCTGAACCTCAAGGAAATTTGTTGCACCTCAGGCCAATATAATATCGTAGATGGACTATAAATTAATTAAATATTAAATAATTAACTTGTAATATAAATGAGTGGTATAATATAAATGGTTGAAAAAAATGTGTAGAAATAAAATTTAAATGCTTAGCTCCTTTATTAGATGGATTGACCACCGAGTAGGGTAGTTTAGTGGAGTACTTATCAAATTTTTTATCCTGATATTGGAGTTTAGTAGTTGAACGTTATATTAGCTTAACTTGGTTCGTTCTCTTAAAAGAGTAATCGGCTCACCCAAGGGTCTCATAATCTCATTAGTGAAAACTTATCAGAGTAATTTCTGGGCATTCTTCCGTACCTTTTTTGTTTTGACTTACAAAAAAAAAAAAAAAGAAGATGGATTGAATTAACAAAAAATAAAAAAACAGTAATTTTTTTTAAAAAAAGAAGTTATTTCAAAGGTATATGTGGCTGCTTTTTACTGGTTGTTCTTTGTGCTTTTAATGGATTTGTGGTCCGATCTCCACGTAAGCTTTCTAGCGTAACACCAAACCAAACCCTAACCTTCGTCAACAAACCTCAACCTGAAAACGTTCTCCTGAAGCCCTAATTTTAGTCTCTCTCTATCTAAAATGCTCAGATAATCTCCACATTTCCCCTCTCTCTCTCCATAATTACATATAATTTATATATTACGGAAGAGACCGTCCTTCTCTATCTAGAACTATGTCTCTGGATGGTGCTGTAAATCGGAAGCCGGAGACTCCTGGAAGTGCAGGTACTGGTGCTGGGAATGGGAACGGAAATGGTGTGGTATTGCCGTCGTATGTGACTCACCGGCTAAGACTGAACCCGAACACGGATCACAAGCCGGACAGCTACGAGGACCTACAACTGGACTTCAGTCCATTGCTGTTCAGTTCTCTGGAGAGCAGTATTTGCCTCCGAGTTTGTTGAACGTGTCACGTGAAACAAAGGTTCAGTACATGCGGGAGATTCTGCTTCGCTATTCGCCCGAAGGCGAGCGCGCACTCGAGTGAGTATATATGTTGAATTGTGTGTTTTTCATTGGATTTCTGGAAATGTGTCTGTGTAATTGTGGGTTTTTATGTTGAATGTTGTTTGGATGATGGGAA